AACGTCTTAGAATTGATACATACAGATATTTGTGGGTCATTTCCTACACCTTTATGGAATAGTCAACAATACTTCATATCATTCATAGACAATTACTCTAGATATGGATACCTGTATCTAATACATGAAAAATCTAAGTCTTTGGATGTGTTCAAAGCATTTAAAGCTGAAGTTGAAAATCAACTCAACAAAAGGATAAAAAGCGTCAGATCTGACCATGGAGGGGAATATTATGGCAGAAATGACGGCTCAGGTGAACAACGTCCAGGACCATTTGCTTTATACCTAGAGGAGTGTGGAATTGTCTCTCAGTATACAATGCTTGGGTCACCTAGCATGAATGGTGTAGCTGAAAGACGAAACCGCACATTTAAGGACATGGCAAGAAGCATGATTCCTCAATCTACTTTGCCAGAGTCACTCTGGGGAGAAGCAATAAAAACTATAGCCTATATTCTTAATAGAGTACCAACTAAAGCAACTGCAAAAATACCTTATGAGCTTTGGACCGGGAGAAAGCCTAGTCTAAGACACTTTCGTGTATGGGGTTGTCCAACTGAGGCAAGGCCTTACAGGCCTAATGAAAATAAATTGGAACCCCGAACAGTGAGTAGTTACTTTATTGGTTATTCTGAGCGATCTAAGGGGTACAAATTTTATGATCCCAAATCAAGAAATATTTCTGAGATGGGTATTGCAAGATTCTTTAAGGATATTGAGTTTGGGGGGAGAAATAAGGTTAAAGACTTTACCTTTGAGGAAGAATTGGTTCAATTTGATCCGATTCATATAGTTGCTACTAATGTGGCAAAATCTGTACCTCAAAAGGATATAGTTATTTTAACTCCCATAGAGTACGAGGAAATTGTTCATGATGAACAAACTCAACATCCTCAAGAATCCGTGCCACAAGAGCCAACACCTTTGCGACGATTCACTAGGAAAAGGAGGAGTGCCATTTCGGATGATTATATGGTATTTCTCCAAGAACATGAAGAAAGTAGTGGTATAATGGAAGATGATCCAATCAACTTCTATCAAGCCATAGAGGATTCCAATTCGGATAAGTGGATTGAAGCAATGAATCAAGAGTATAAGTCCATGCAAGATAATAAAGTTTGGGAACTTGTCCCGTTACCAGAAGGTGTGAAACCCATTAGTTGTAAATGAATTTTTAAAATCAAAAGGGATTCTAATGGTAATGTGGAGAGGTACAAGGCATGTCTTGTGGCAAAGGGCTATACTCAAAAGGAAGGGATTGACTTTAAAGAGACATTCTCTCCGGTTTCAATGAAGGACTCTTTTAGGACAATTATGGCTCTAACCGCACATTTTGATCTGGAGCTTCATCAGATGGATGTTAAAACAGTATTTCTTAATGGAAACATTGATGAAATAATTTATATGGTACAACCAGAATACTTTGTATCAGGAGATCCAAAGAAAATGATTTGTAAATTGATAAAATCCATCTATGGGCTAAAACAGGCATCTCGTTAATGGTATCACAAATTTCATTAAGTAATTATCTCATTTGGTTTTGAGGTAAACGCTGTTGATGATTGCGTGTATCATAAATTCAGTGGGAGCAAATTCATTTTTTTAATATTGTATGTGGATGATATTTTGCTTGCCATAGATGATATAGGTTTATTGCATGAAACCAAGATATTTCTATCTAGACATTTTGAGATGAAAGATCTTGGTGACGCCTCTTTTGTATTAGGAATCCAGATACATTGAGATAGATCTCGGGGTATTCTAGGATTATCACAAAGGAGCTATATCGATAAAGTACTCAAAAGGTTTGGCATGCAGGATTGCAAATCAGGAGACACCCATATCACAAAGGGAGACAAGTTCAGTCTCAATCAGTGCCATAAAGGAAATATGAAAACTCAAGAAATGCAGAAGATTCCCTATGCATCAGCTGTAGGGAGTCTAATATATGCATAGGTTTGTACATGTCCCGATATAATGTACATTGTTGGAGTGTTAGGTAGATACTTAAGCAATCCTGGAATGAATTATTGGAAGGCAGCTAAAAGAGTCATGAGATATTTAAAGAGGACAAAAAGATCTTATGCTCACATATAGGAGTTCAGACCATTTGGAGATCATTGGGTATTCTGACTCCGATTTTGCTGGATGCCAAGACAATAGGAAATCTACTTCGGGCTACATTTATATGTTGGCAGGTGGGGCGATTTCTTAGCGTAGTGCCAAGCAATCTCTTATTGCTTCTTCCATTATGGCAGCAAAATTTGTAGCATATTTTGAGGCATCCAATCATGGAATTTGGTTGAGGAATTTTGTCACAGGGTTGTAAATAGTACAAGGGATTGAAAGACCACTAAAGATATACTGTGATAATAAATCAGCTATTTTATACTCCAACAATAATAAGAGCTCGACTAAGTCAAAGCATATTGACATCAAGTTCCTAGTTGTGAAAGAAAGGGTACAAAGTAAACAAATTTCTATAGAACACTTGGGAACAAACTTTATGTTGGCAGATCCTCTCACAAAAGGTGTACCGCCTAAGGTCTTTCATGAGCATACTGCTCATATGGGTATATCAGAATTTGAAGAAACTTTAGTTTAGTGGGAGTCTGTCATATGTTTGTTATATATTCTATGCCAGATTCTGTATTTATACAGATATTTTATGATCAGAAATAAAGCTTCAATTTATTATACTTTATACGTTATGACTATTAAAGTTATTAATGATCTCATAAAGATAAAGTTGGACCAGTTAAAAATTGACATGTACAGATCACATTCATGTAATTTTCATGCTACATATTTCATAATTGATCTATGTCATTTGGTTATGTTAATATTAGTAATCATTGATGGGTGTAGCTAATATACCGAAGACCGCTTTGGTCCTATATTAATATGACCAATGGACAAGATTGTTTTGTATGTTCTGTTTAATAATGGGAACAGTTTTGAGCTCATAAAGTATAGCATATTTATAAGGATACATATGTGACTCAGTGGGAGATTGTTAGAATTTTAAGGGTCACACATGTATAATTAAATATGTTAAGCTATTATTTTATTAGCCAAAAATTAAAGTGATCCAATTAAAGTAAAGTTATTTGGCCAAGGTACCTAATTATTATTATGAACATTAATTGTGTGGATATTATTAGTCATATTTCTAACTTAATGACGAGATAAGTTAGGAATATGAAACTCTTGAACCATAATTGCATATTCATTAATTATGAATATAATCATAATTATAGATTTATTATTTATGACTATAAATAAGGTTATGATCCCCGGTTACAGTATTGAATGAAGCTTCTCTTCATCCGTCCAGGAAAAATCTAAAGTTCTTAAGGATACTTGTAATTGAAAGACCAAATCACCAATTAATTCAGAAAATACTCTAATGGATTCATCAGGTACATTTCCGTATTAATATGTTTCTTAATTGTTATAGGATTTTATGCATATTATAATAGATTTAATAAGTTTTATCGAAACATTCTTAATTTATTGCTTTGGATCTATTAAGTTTATTTTTGGATCAAAATTAGATTTTAATTCTATAAAATAATTATTTGATCCATATTAGATAGGTTAAAAGAACCCAACATTTGAAGATAGAGAAAGAAGAACATTCTTTTGTGCTACTAAATACTTATATATCAATTCACTCATGGACATGCAATATTGTACTTTTTTTAATAAGACGTGATTTAGAATGGTGAACCTAAAGTATGATGATTACATTATAGATGATACATAAAAGCCCTCTCATAACTTCACCATGGAATGTACCTAAAAAAAAATTGCCTGCATGCTCTTCTTTTATTTAGCTTACTCAGCTTGTATAGAATAGTGCATATATTTTTTGTTAGTTAATTGCATATATATTTTTCTATACCAAAGTGTTCCTTCATTTTGATTGTTTACATTATTAAATTCTTTCTAATATCAATAGACCATATATCGTTACTTGACAATAATATGGAGGGCCTATGCATCAGGATGGTTGATTCTTCTAACCCTACACCTTCTGTTCCAGTCATACATACTCCTAAAACTACCGAGGCATCTTCTACATCTAACATTATTGATAGTTAGGAGATGAAAGAAGTTCTCAATATAATAATAAACAATGATGCTACCGCTAATGATTATTGTCTTAAAACAGTGTCATTTCCACATGCATTGTTGTGCATATTGTAAACTTAATTGTGAAAGAAGGATTGAAGGAGTTAGATGAATCCATTTTTAGAATTCGTGTTGCTTTGAAGCATCAAAAAACATTTCAGTTGCTTGAATTGTAGGAGACAAAGTTCGATAAAGAGGGTGAAGGAGTGTGCCTTTGAAAGATCTTTTATGTTGCTACTATGCGTATTTTTTTTGTTCCTCTTTATGTCACGGGCAACAATTGATTGATTTTTAAAATATATATATATATATATATATATATATTTAAAATTATCAATTGATTAATCGGATTAATTGATTTTTATCCAATTTAATTAAATAGATCCGAACCGATTGGATTCAATTCGACCATTAACGGTTCAATTTGAATCGATTTCAACGCCCCAAAATAATTATATATTGAAGAGCAAAAGTTTGTGTGGATTAGGTGGGACGGCAGCCTCCAACATCTGACTTGAGCCAAACATGCCAAAAATTCCAGAATGTGACATTTCTTGCCTGTTCAAGAAACCAAAGCGACATGACTTGTAGTCTAATTAATACGAGAAACTGTTCACGAGTAGTTTTATTGTCATGTTCATTCTCCTTAGAAATCCACGGAAATAATGGAGTAGCCGTGTCTCACAGTGCCTTCAACCGAGCTAGCTTCCCTGCAAAGTGCCAAGGAGGTGGGTTCCTTATTTGGATCGATATCGATGAGGGAGTGGAGCTTAGTCAACTCTACGGCCGTGATTCCAACGCAGGTCCACAAATGCACAACCTTGTGCTGCTAACCACGATGTCAACTCTATGGAACATAGATGATTCAAGCATGAACGGAGGAGCGTAAACTTGATGCCAAAGAGCACTTCCACACATTTACCTGCGACACCGTCTCTTCTTCCACCGGGAAGAGCTGCGTCGGAGGAGTTTGGAGGGAATAGAGAGAATTACAGACATATCAATATGATATTACTAGCCAATGAGGGAGGGGATGTATAATAATAATAATATTAAGCAGGCATCGTCCTGTTGTGAGGGGCTGCGGATTCCATCTGTTCCTCGTCTTCGTTCTCGCCCGACATTTCCTCGAGCGACCTCCCCTTCGATTCCGGCACTAGGAAGGTAAAGATCACGCCCAAAAAATTGCACGCCGCGAGCACGAAGAGCGCGTTGCGGACGCCGATTCCGGCCGGGTAGCCCTTGTCCCTCTTCGTCGGGTCCGTGCTGTTCTGTGCCGCGTACAGGAACCCGAAGGCGCCCACGATGGCCCCGGCCTTGCCCGCGGCCGCCGAGATGCCGTGGCATGTGGACCGCAGCCGCGCGGGGAAGATCTCCGCCGGCACGATGAAGGTGGTGCTGTTGGGCCCGAAGTTGGCGAAGAAGAAGGTGAAGCCGTACATGATGACGAAGCCGATGTGATGAGTGGTCCAGTGGTTGTAGGGGATGGCGAGGCCGAGCATGAAGACGGTCATGAAGAAGAAGCCCATGAGTTGGATGGTGAACCGGCCTATGGTGTCGATCAAGGCCACGGTGAACCAGTAGCCCGGTACGGTGCCGCAGAGCGCGATGAGGGTCTGCGCCCGGGCGATCCTGAACACTTCCTCGATGGCGTTCATGGTGGCCGCCTTCGGAATCCAACCGATGGCGGTGAAGATGTCCTTCTGGAACAGGTTCTGGCTGTAGAAGGCGATGTCGAGGAGGAACCACGTGGTGGTGGTGCCGACGAGGTGGAGACCGTGGCGGCGAGCGAACTCCCTGGAGAAGAGGCCGAAGCTGTTGGCCTCCTTCATGGTCAGCTGCTCCACCTTGGTCTGCTCCTCGACGATATCCACCTGGAGGACCTTGGACATGTCGGCGGCCGCCTTCTTCGCGTTCTTGGCTACCAGGGCGGTGTATCGCGCGGTCTCTGGCATCTTCATCCGCCAGTAGTAGGTTAGGGCGGCCGGGAGGGCTCCCAGCATGAGAATTATGCGCCAGATGTAATCGGCCTGCGATACGGTGGAGCCTTCCCGGTCGAACTGGTAGGCCGGCGCGTCAAAGCGGCTCTTGAAGGCGGCGGAGACAATGAGGGCGACGATGCCGCCGGTGAGGATGCCGAAGCCCTGCATGGCGAAGACGGCAGCGATGAAGGCTCCGCGGGTCCTCTTGTTGGCATACTCCGACATGATGGTGGCGGAGAGCGGGTAGTCGCCGCCGATGCCGAAGCCCAGCCAAAAGCGGAAGAAGCAGAGTGTGGCTATGACGCCATTAGGGTCGTGGCCGAAGGAGAGGCCGGAAGCGACGGAGCAAATGACCATGAGCATGAGAGTCATGCCGTAGACTTTTTTGCGACCGAGCTTGTCGCCAAGCCACCCGAAGAAAAGCTGGCCGGAGAGGGTGCCGCAGAAGGCCACGCCATTGACAGCCGCAGACACTTTGGGCGGGAGCGTGCCGGGGGTGGGCGAGTCGCGGTCGAAATAGTAGATGCGGCCAAGGAGCTTGGAGACAAGGGAGATGCAGAACAGGTCGTAGGCGTCGGTGAAGAAGCCCATGCCAGCGATGACGATGGCCGTGAAGTGGTACCATTGCGTCTTGGCTAGGTCAAGGGCGTTGAGCACTTGGAGCTGGTCTCCGGCCATTGTGGCAGCACTTCTCCTCTGCTTCCCACCTTCTTAGCAGTGCACACGACCGCAAACAGTAGCTGTAGTAGAACAAAGCAATCGTGAAAGCTCTGCAACTCTGGTCGAAGTTAATCACTCGAAGTTTGATGTATGTTGTGCGACAGTTCCTTAAGACGAGCAGAAAGAGTTCCAATCTCCCTTCGCCAGTGTGACAGGGAAAGGCAGAGACAATTGGGAATCCACAGCCTCCGAAGATGTAGGGATTCCCCAAAAGGTAGAACCCAGAAAACTCAAAAAGCAAACAGGAATCAATGACGGAATATTCTGTATGTTTGCTTATGAAGAACAAAAGAGAAATCCTTTTTATGTCAGAAAAATATCTTCGAAGAGAAAAGAGAACGAGAAGCCATCGAACAACCAAGACACTAGAGGTTAGTCTCTCTCACTGCTTACGACGAGATCATCCAAAGTGATCCTAACTAGTTCATTTTCGTCTACGAATTGGGCCGAATAAACTGAACAGAAGCAAAATAAGATCATAGCCTTGGTACCTGCTCTGCAAGTGGAGCAAGAGGAGAAGATGGAACCCAGGGTTGATCACAGGAGGAAGAAGAAGAAGGCGGAGATGGGGAGGAGCGGAAGAGAGGAGGGGGAAGCCGCAGGAGGCTCTGAGATAAACTGAGAAGGGGGGTAGATGGGCCTATTAATAAGCACGGATGAATCTTTGCATACATCGCTCGCCATGTCTACCCAAGGTCAAGTCAACGCTGCGCAGACGCAGACAGTGGACCCTTCCTCTGCTTCCCCGCCTACTCCCTCTTCTGTCCTCCATCCTACGTCTTTTCTCTCTCTCTCTCTCTCTCACACACACACACACACTAAAAATATAAAAAATATATATACACTAAAAATACAAAAAATAAATAAATATTTTATTAAAAAATCTTCCCTATTGATTTTTTTTTTACCAAATGATACTCTACTATTCGTTTTTACCTTAGGGTGTCATTTTTTATTTAGATAAAAATATCCTTATATTTTATTAAAATAATTTGATCACATATGTTATTAAAAAAATCTCTAATTTTGATAATTAATTATCATAATTTTTTTTAAATTATTCAAAAAACTAATTTTTTTCTGATAAAATACTAGACAAATCTAGTTTTATATTTAAAAATAATACATAAAAAAACATTTTAGATTTTTACTACGGTGAATGCTGAGTTCAGATAAGAAACGTCTTATTGACTTTAAAATATGATTTTACTCTTTAGTGTGAATGAATTTAAACTGATATAACTCAGGATTTTTTTGAATTAAAACATTATCACGGAGAAGAAAAAGGATGCTCTGCCACACAAAAAAAAAAAGGATAAAAAATAAAGATACTCTACAGTAAAAAAATTCTTATATTTATTTATTATTTTGTTCAACTTTGGTGGTAATGAATGAGACAGTCCGTTGCTGACGTGCGGTTTAGTCATAAATTTTGTAATTTTTACCCGCATGATTGTCTAACCCGCCTTACCAACCACTAGCAGGTGCGGGTCCCGCTGAAGTTGCCCCACTGGCACGTCTATCAAAACCCCACCAGAAAGGTAAGCGGAACGGGTAGGAAAACTTGCCATTCATAAAATAACGCTATTTTTCGCGTTATATCGCCAAATACGTTGTAACCACACAAAAGTGGCACCATAGACACCCTATCATCTATTATTTCATAAATCATTACGTAGAACATGAAAGATGGAATAAATCACAAGCACTGCCTTTCCCTTTCTTTTGATTTCAACAGTGCATTTTTGTAGAGTTTCTCATGTTATGGATCAAGCTTTTCGAGTCCCATCTTCAGTATGAATGATATCTATAGCATCCCAAGAAACAAGAGATAGGGTCATACAAGCAGGAGAAGACCAGCGTCAGCAGCAATCCAAGCGGTCGCAAGAATCTTGGATGGCAGCCCAGTGGTCAATCAAGCACATACTATAGAGAGAGAAAGAGATTTCATACCAATAACTTAATCCTGTGGTTAGTATCGGTCTCGTCGATGATCTGAGAGGAGTTCACGAGGGAAATGGAACTCCGTCATTAGCTAAGCAAGCAATCTATTCGTACTCCAACTCAAAGTCATCTAAACGAACCCTAATCTTATCAGGAACACCGTTCGAATCTAAAAATATAAATTATCTAATAACCTTGGTTAAATCGGAATATGAAATTATCTTTCTTGTTCGTTCCCGTTGGATCAAACAAGACAAGTTTACAACCTCGTCTCTACTTTCTTTCTTTCGACTTGGTGACTTGCATCGCTCGTCTTTATCACTTTTCCCTTGACAGCCTGTGGATGCCTATCCACCGCATAAGACCCACCGGGAAAGCTTCTCCGAGAAACTTGAAGCCTCCCGGAAAACTTGCTCATGTACTGCCATTTTATTAAAGACCGAACAAGTATGGGCACACATACTTGAATAATGGCATTTAAATATATTAGTTTCTCTTTTAATCACCTAATCGAAATTTTTATCAATTTACAAGCCTTATGCAATACCCATAAAATTATATAAAACAGATAAATTAGATTAAACATCTTTGATGTCTCACGAGAGTTAGATAATAAATAACCTCGGAATTAACTCGATGGCCGAGTTAGATTAAGTATTATGATATTGTTTAACCATGCAGGATTAAAAACAAATAACGTTATGAAAAAGAATTCACGAAGAATGATAATAAAATAAAAGCTGTAGAAACATTGCAAACTAATGGAGGGCAATCTGTGCCATGTCGATTTCATTGGGGTTGTCGAGTGTCATCATTGAAGCCTCCGCAAAATCGAATCCATTCTGTTGTCAGGATGAAGAATGTGTAGCCGACGCAAGCGGATTCGTCGTGGCCACCCGATCACCGATGCCATTGAGCATTGGCAAATGAGTTGGATCGATTGGCTTAGGCTGTTTCCGATGTTGACTGATTCCAACGCTACAGCCTTGATTTGACGATGATGACGTTAGCGTGAACTCAATCTGGTGCTGTCTGTCGATTCTTCTTGGCGCAAAAACAAAAACGTTCATTTTTCATTTATTTCACTATTTTTTCCCTTTTATTTTTAAATATAGTTCCATTATTTGTAGAAATTATTTATGCCTTGGTCTCCCAAGACACGCTTCGCCGACTCTCAAGTCAACCTTGGCGGCCGCGTGGGCCCCCCAGCACTTGCGGACACTCCGAACCCAAAGAGCCGAACTTAAATGTCCCAAAGATCCCCTGCTCAAGAACTTCTTACTCTTCCCACGTGGCAACCTCTCCGGCGTGCCTATTGGTGAGACAGCTTCGCGTAAGTAACCTCGAGACCCACCGTACGCGTGCGACGTGAGGAAATTTGGCGAGCAGAAATCTATCTAAATTTGCGTATATGGCAGAAATCAATCGTCAAAAGATGAATGGCAATGGCAAATATTTTATTAGTCACAAAAAGATCAGGAAGCAGCCATGGCGTTCATCACCACCCCATCATCCTTATCCGTTCCGGCCACGATGGTTCCTCGGTGGCATCACGGATTATTGTCAGCATCAAAACCAATTGCTTCTTGTGAGTGTGGAGGAGACAAAACTCGGGAAGTCGAGGATACCAAAGCCTAACAACGTTAGCATGAACGCCTCAGTGAGTCAACTGCACTGGCCCGGACGTCGATCCCAAGCTTGACGTGGGTAATGGGACATGAAGCTCCCATTGTCATGACAAGTTGTTGACACCATTCATTATACTCGGTTAGTTTTCAACTCAGTGAGCTTAGAGTCAACTCAAGACTGCTTCTTATCGTCTGGGTGTAATTTCAGAGGACTTCTGCATGAGCTATATATCGAGATTCAAATATTATACATAAAGAGTGAGCAACAAAACGAAGTCAATGCCAACCGAGCTCTCACCATAACTACAAAAAGTGCGTGGTGAATGGTTGACTTTCGAAGAAAATAATAAAGATAGACGACAAGAAGATGAGGAAACATATAAAAGTCGTGCTATTTTTTGACCTCAGCGAATCAGAATGTACGTACGAGGCTAGTGTTTTTAGCATTTAGTTTATTCTTTTCATGCTCAATTTCGTTTTTCGTATTTGTTGTATCCTCTAATCTTTTATGGCCTTTCGGCGCCGCAATAGATGAAAAGTCACAGAGTCTCCACCCGTCGGTCGACATCGCTTGCAATTGTCAACTTGATCGGAAGACTCCTTGTTCCATTTTTGGCATTTCAAAGTATATTTTTTTAGCACACTTGCATCGTTAATGGATGAACAGTTTTACTGTCTGTTGTTTTAACTGTTAATAAGTTAAAAGCAATGTACATTAATATTTTATTATTAAATAAGATTAGATAAAATTTTAGGAATAAAAAATTCATAGTTTAAAATATATTTTAAAAGATTTCAAATAAGATTAGATAGAGTTAGAGAGATTAGAGACTCTTATATTTTATAGATGGTATCTAAATTCAAGTCTCAAGTATTCAAGTCGAATTTAATAGTCGTTCAAAATGTATAAGTTTTTTTTTTTAGGTGTTTAATAATTTTTTTTCCTGATTTGAGAAAGGATTGCAATTGCATGTGATCTTCCCTTTCTTCACATGGTATCATAGCCACAAGAATGGTAATATGTGTTTCGAGATCTTTTTGGTGAAGAAGATAATATTTTTTGACAATGAAAAATTATAATCGAGTTAGTGGATTTGATATTGAACTTCTCAATCAATCTAATTATAAGATCTAGAAGACATATTTGGAGTCTTATCTCATAAAGGAAGATCTATGAGATGTGATTGGTAACAATATAATAATAACACCAAATATTGTAGATGGAGACCCCAAGAAGATAGGGAGAACTTTAAATGCAAAGGCTAAATTTATATTAAAAAGATATATTTGTGATGATCTCTTTAAATATACTATTCGTTGCAAATCAACAAAAAGATATTTAGATTACTCTTGATATATTGCTCAATAAAAAGAATATGACTCGATTTTAGTATTTGGAGAATGATTTGGTAAATACTATCCAAGGTGATATCTCAATTTCTCAAATTAAAAATTTATACTTAGAGATATCACTCATAGATCCAAATGAATATATTTCTGATGCACAAATAAAATATTATATTATTTATGATCTTCAAAAAAAAATTTCTTATGTTATATCTATTCAGGGCTAGGTTGAACAACCATCCTTAGTAGAGTTGAAAAATCTTCTTGCTCCTTAGTAATTCCTAGCTCATCAATTGGCGAGAGCTTCTATTTCATACGGAGATGGAAATATCCTTTTTATAAATAAAAAAAAGAATAAAAAAAAAAAAGATGATGTTGACAGTAAGCAATAATCTTATTCAAACAATAGTATAAATCAAAAGAAGATAAGGTGTTATAGGTATGACAAGTTAGGTCATATCAAGAAAAATTATCGTATGAAAATTAAAGGTGAAAAATATTAGAAACAAAGAAGATTATTCTAATGCTACTGATAAAGATCGAGGTAAATGCTCTATAGTTGAAACTATTAAGGTCATCACGTCTATCAATTTTAAAAAATAACTGGATTGTTGATTCAGGATGTGGTTATTATCTCATTGATGATGATATCAAATTCACCCATCTTCGTCAATGTGAAGGTAATGATACAATTAT